CAACAGGCCCAGTGGCTTATTAAGACTAAGTGCATGTACAGAAAAAAAGCTGCCTTTCATAAATAACTGGAAGAGGATCAGGCAGACCTCCGTGGTTGGTCCATGGAGGTAGGAATAAGGGGTTAAGACCTCTAGATATCAAAGAGGACCAACTGCACATGGACGGAAGGCATTCCTCCATTCCCAGAATCAACTCAACACAAACAAGAAGTAATCATTAATACCCCCCCTGAGAGTTTTTCTTTCAACTGAAAAATAAGGACGCTTTGTTAAGGGAAAATGCCAAACTTTTTTTAGCTTTTTTGTTTTGTTCTTGGGTTTTCCTTTCACAGAGTAGCTCCCCAAAGGCCCAAATCTTGTAGTCAATCATCACCATGTAACTACACTCTTGAACAGTTCATCCAATGTTACAACGACTCACCCAGCTCAGACAATACCTTGTAATCTGATGAGCTTTCTGTTGGTCACAGAACACTATGAGTGAGGGGATTGGGTGCATTTGGCTTTGAACCATTTGGCCAGCCTCTCTGAACCCTGCCCTGGTTCTCTATTGGGGGGCTTATCATTTGTGAACCCGTTGGACGGTTTGCGAACCGTTTGTATTTTTTGCAACAGAATATGGAAACCATGAACAAAAATGGAATCTTGAAATCACTACAAATTTTTTGAAACCTTGGAATTTTTTGTTGACTCGGCTAATTTCCTCGTTTTTACTTTCTCCCTTTTTTTATGTGATAACAAATTGGTGTTGAGTCCAAAGCTTTGGCATTTGATATTGGAAAATTTGGGCCTATTGGCCTGGCAAAGAATGTGAAACTTTCAACCTCAGACTTATTTCAGCGTGTATTTCATTTAGTCTTGAATCAAGATACTGTTATTTTGTTACATTACCCACCATACAAGAGAGGGCTATTGTAAATCAAGCAACCACTTATTGGTAAAATCTGCTAGTTTATTGCTGGTGATAGCGCCCTTTTGCAAAGGTGGATCTTGTAGAAAAATCCATCCGTTAATGTCTTGAAAATAATCTCTTCAAAAGCATGTCTTTTGACTAATCTGCCAAATTCAACAATTGGTTTTACACATGTGACATATTTACAATCTCAGGGCTAGTTGGAATTCAAAAGGTCAGTTTTTCACATTTTAGGTAGTATATAAAAGACAGGGAACTAGCAAAATTTTTTAAGACAAATTACGTAATATATAAGTTCAGTGCCATTAAAAAAGTCAGTGAAATTAGTGGAATTAAAAGTTGGCCTTTAAGAACACTTATTTTTGATCAGTGCTCACAGAAACAAGGATTAAGAAACAAGATATTCAGTTCCTTTTTTAAGCACTTAATTGACCTTGTATTTGCACATATTTGTAAATAATGAAAGTAGTGTTACATTTTTGCAGTTAAGTGAAATATCACTTAATTTGTTTTTGTTGCACTTTTTAAAAATTAATTTTGTTGATTTTTTATCCTCGGAGGTTTTGATTGGTCAATTGATGTTCAAGTGAGATTAGTAACCCCCCTGCAGATCACGATAGGAATTACGTAATTGGGGTCCTTGAAATTGGCGACAGGGAAATGATTTTTGATGGGGGGGTTCAAAAGTAGGAGCTTGCTTACAAGGGGCCTTATTGTTGGCAAGACTTACTCTTGGGAAATGTTGAACCAGGGGTGCATTCTGCTAATACATGATGCATAAATGCAAACATTGCAAACGTTGGTGACTTTTCATTACACTACATGTGTTCTGGAAACTGTGTGCCAATGTTGGCAATGTTTACAAAGGTTAGTTAGATGCACCCCTGCCTCAGTTCCAGGGGCTCAGAATGGTCCCACAATGGTTCCCCCATAACCTCCTCCCATGGACAACAAAATTTTGTGGGCCTTGGATGCGCTCATTCCATTGATGTCATGTGAGATTTGACTATTTAGTAAAGAAAATATGGGAGAAGGAGACTCCTTCTGAAGTGTTTGAAGGGAAAATCTGGAATTGGGGTATTTCTGCTGGATTTAGGCAAGGTTTTGTAATATTGAAGTTTGAAAAGTTCATTTTTGTATCTCTGCTGTTGTAAAAACCTAGACATAACGAACAAATGCATTAATATACATACTGCAGTTGGATTCACACGTGTAAATTTGATGTCAATATTGATGGTACCACAAAGTAATGAATCATGTAGGTCTACTGCATCATGAACTGATGTATTTTGAGTATAAAGCCTCTGCGTAACATGCCATTTTGTCTTGCTAGACTGTCCTATCTGTCACGTGTTATGCGTTTGCTCAGTGAGACAGGTTTTGATAAATTTTTTCTGCTGTACAGTATCCCAGGGACCAATCTCATGATGCCGCTCGGCTGAGAAATTGGATTACCCCTGGAAAGATGCATTGCTTGTGACTACACCTTTGCTAGTGTTTGCTCAGCATGCAGATTTGTGACGTTGCATGTCAAAACTGGGTAGAATATGGCACAGCTAAGAATGGGGAAACAGGGGAAAAATTACATTTGTTTGGAAATTCTTTGGAAATTTGCAATTCTGCTGATGTTCATATGATGCCCTGTCAAACTTTTATCCTGAAATTTCATTGACAACATATTTTCTTTCCATTAAAATCAAATTTGAAGGTGTCTTTCTTTTTCATTTTAAACTTTCCAATTTGTGCCTGATTTTGACATACCAGCTTCTTGTTTCATGTGCACTGCTTTCACAATGGGGCCTGCTCTAATTGGAGTTTGACCCAAGTCATGTTGCACATTTACATGGAAGGGCTGCTCAGTGTAGAAAGGGCTAAAATGTGTCTGTTTTTGAGATTTGAAGATTTCAATGCATAGTTTATAGTTTCATAAATAAAGTGGACTAAAATACACATTATACCGTACCTTAAATGGATTGCTATGGGATCTTTAAGGCCTTTTCTTGATAAAGGTTTTGAATCTAAAAGTCTATGTAATTTATATAAATTTTGCATAGAAAGACACTTTCAACATGGAAGGTTACACAAAATCAAATGTAATTTGAAAGATTCTCCAACAACAGGCAGAGTACATTGTCTTAAACATTGAGTACACTGGTTATCTTCAGAAATACCCCTCACAACACAGATTTCACATGGTGCTATCACTGACCTTTGACAAAAGCATTAAGCTCTTCACCAATTTCAGACCCGATGATAAATTGCGACAGCCCTAAGCAAAGAATTTTGAAGATTACCCTCCTGTTGCTGTTCATTTTTAAAAGGCTATGTTCACACTACTTTTCCAACCATCCTCAAACTTTTCATATTCCTTCCTCAAGAATCAGTTGTAACTGGCATCCAATATATATTCCAAAGACTCTGTCATAGTCCACTTGTACCTTGGTGTAGGACTCATTTTTCTGAAGTTTGTGACTTTAATTGTCTTTAATAGCAGAGCAGATTACAGTGAGAAGATGTTGGGATCTAGAACATAACATCTGTTTACAAGCAAGAGCATTTGAAAGTCTGTGCAATTTTAGAAAATCAGACTTCTTATATTTATCTTTGGACCGTACATGTATTTGCAAATTCACTTGTCAGTCTTGTTCTAACATTTTCTGTTTGAAGGGATATACATTTCAAATAAAATTCTGGAAGAGTTTGCAAAAAAGGGGTAAGGTTTCTTGGCTAAAAGCAGTGAATATACCAAACATCATGGTCTGTGTCTGTGAAGAAAGCACTAAATACATGGATGTGCTGAAAAACTGGAATTTTGTCTTTAGTCTTACCAGAACAATGAGCAATGTTTGCACTTGGACTGAACAGAACTTTGAAATATTCAGAATTTGGGGTTTGAAGACAGCCTTTTAATGTTTCAATAACTCTAATCAAAATTGGTGCAGTGCCAACCTAGTAATCATTGAAATTGTGTGTATCTGTTAAAATGTTTTGTGGTTGAGCTTAACCTCGTTGTAATTTATACCATTGTTTTATAACTTCATACACCTGTAATGCTGTCCCAAAGTGTTAATATGATGTCATACCTACACTTTGACTCTTCTTTAGTAAAGCATTTTGTAAATATTTATAGGTTGAGGTTTTTGAAATCACACCATCTTTGCAAATATTGTTATTAAAGGGTTGGTGTATATTTTAAATACTCATAGCAAATGTTTAGAATTTGAGTTTTTCATCTTCTAAGTTGACTACTAAATCAGTGATTAAATAATTCAGCTCTGAATTTCTGACTGAATTCAGAAAGTCTTTTTTACGATAACTCAAAAAGACATCACAAAACGTTGAAATGATTATCACTCGTGAATAAGAATGTTTATGTATGATTATACCCAAAAATGGAAGTAAGAACTTTTTATGGTTTTGCATATATTACTTAATGGTCAATTTTACTTTAGAACAAAAAAAGTGTGTATGAGAGAGTCACCTACATTTTTTACACTTTTTCGTTCACATTTTTTGTGTTAGTTTCTTTTTAAACCGTTATTGCTTTTGCAAAGAAAGACAATCTCCATTGTTCTGTGAAAAACGTGATTGTTGTAGTGTTGACAGCTTATATGGTGTTGCAGGAGCACAGAGCTGAGGTGTGGAAATTCAGTTTGTGCAAAATGTTTAGTTTTAAATTGGTTTTGTGTTTACATTAAAAGGGGCTGTGTCGCAAGTCCTTGCAATTTCATCACACCCTATCACAACTCATCCAGTTATATGAACTGTGACAAAAGCATTCCTTCGTCATTGTTCTTCATCATCCCGCAACTTGTGACTGGATTTGTGATCGAATCAACTACAGCCCTGGCATTAAAAAGTAGAATTGGCCCTTCATCTTTTATTCAGATTTTCAACCTGACAAGATGAGGACTTGATGGAGGAAAATCTTTGAAATATTTCCATCTTGTATGGTGCTTATGAGCAGTATTAACCAGCTTTACTTGCTAGTGCACATGTGCCCTGTTCATTCACTGTTCACTGTTCAGCCAGAGAGCTTGAGCTCTCAGACTTGCATCACTGGTCCCCCCCCCCACCACCAAAATCTTTGCATGGTATGGAGCTGTTGTAGATTGACAGATTTTCTTGTTTTCATTTTTAATGGGAGCTATATGCATGTTCATTTTTGTTTCCTTAAACCAACATTCATTTAAATCACTTATTTAGCGTGTTTGCAAGCCATGTGGTGATCGGATCCAGCCTTAGGCTACCCATTTATAAACATTGTAAAAATGACATCACATTATACAGGGGTGCATGATATATGTCAGTGTATGTATTGATTAGCATCAAAGTGGTATATTTGAAGTTTTTATATTGTCTGTTCTCCAGTTGCTTGAAAGTTCAAAATACATGTAGCTTCAAAATGTGCATTTTTGCGGAACACCAAAATAGGGGGGGGGGTGCATGATACAATGCTCATCACCCTGGTTGAAGTTGGGGGTGGGGACATATATACATACATACAGCCAAACTCCCCTAGATGCCTTCCCATAAGTAAGGAGTGACATGCTGCATACATTTTTTATCATGTGTACCGGACAAAATAATGTAATGAGTGATGCAGGTACATTGATCAGCATGGTAAACAAAATAACCTGTAGAGATGCCCATGAATTGACACAGGTGTATTGAAGTGTTAGTCTGCATCCTGTTGCCCCATCTGGGCAAGGCTACAGCAATGTTTGTTGTATTAAATATTTATGTTTGAGTTGTGTAAGAAATGTTTCATTAAAAACTGGCAAGTGGAGCAAGCAGAGTTAAATGGTGCGTTTGAGTTTGCAGTTTTAAAGTAGAAAAACAGTCAGAAATTGGCCAGGCGACTCCATAAGTATCTTCTTGTTTATTGATTGACAAAGATAGAGGGATGACATTCTGAGCTTGTATCTTTCTTGAAGGCAACAAAATTGCCATGTTTACTCAGACATTTTCTCATTCACTATTGAGTAGGAAATGTTCAATACAGACAGCTATTTTTTCCATCTTAATGTTGATAGACAGTTGGATACTCCAATCAACCTTGGACATTTTAGCTCACAGATACTGCAACATGTGGGCATTTACATGTAGAGGTTTGTTTCGTGAAAAACTAAGATTTCAGCAGTCAGGAGAGCATGCGTACACCACAGATCAGTTGTGGACAAGGTAGTGGTGTTAGTGTGGTGGAACACCAGACAGGAGAAATACCCATTGAA